GCGGCCTCGCTGGCCCTGCAATCGGCGGCGGCGCCGCCGGTGGAGGCGACGACGGCGGAGGGACGATGGCGGCGGCGTCGACGGCGGCGGAGACGGCGGGGGAGGGCTCGGAGGCGGCGGGGAGGGTGGTGGCGGCGACGGCGGGGGAGGCGACGGCGGCGGAGGCGAGGGCGGCGGTGGGCTGGGTGGCGGCGGGCTGGGTGGTGGCGGCGAGGGTGGCGGTGGCGATGGCGGTGGCGGTGAGGGTGGCGGCGGCGACGGCGGCGGAGGGCTCGGTGGAGGCGGGCTCGGCGGCGGCGGCGAAGGGGGAGGCGGCGAGGGCGGTGGCGGCGAAGGTGGCGGTGGCGATGGCGGAGGCGGCGATGGCGGTGGCGGCAAGGGAGGAGGAGATGGCGGTGGAGGTGATGAGGGCGGCGGGGATGCTGCGCTGGTTCTGGACACAGTAAGGAGAATGCCGAGCAGTGCGGTCCAGGGGAAGCGGCAGATGCAGGAGACGGCTGCGGAGTGGGAGCGCTTTGGCGTGAACGTCTGACGGGCGCGACTGGCCAAAGTTTGGAGTGCCTCCGACGGCGTACCCTGCACAGGGCGGCGCGAGACGGGCTGTGTAGCTGCAGGTTGACCGGCGCGACATTCGAGTGAATCGGTGCATGGGTGCATGGGTGCATAAGTGCAAGCACGAACCGATTTTGTGGGCGACTTGGAGCCTCCAAACGATTTCATCATCACGGTATCGAGTGGCCGTGTCGAGCGAAACCTGTGAGGAGAGCGTGGCACAAAATGGTCGGAGAACTGTCGTTGGCGGCGGCGACGCTGGTGCATGCGAGCTGGCAACTTTGTAGCAGTGAGCCAGACAGGAGTACACACGCGCTTGTCTCAAGTAGGTGAGGAAGACAACTGATTGTGTCGGTGTGCTGTAGCAACCTTAGCGCATGTTTGCGAGCGCGTGAGACCTGGCCTTAGGGCGGCTCAGGCAAGGGGTCATCGAGTCACGCCGTTTTATTCTTTTTGACGCACACTGTGTGTGCCAGGCAGGCGCGCCAGTCCCGTGCCCAGTGTTGTGCGAGCTCCCCGCTGTGGCTCCGCCGACCGGACCTGGCTCAAGCGGCGGCTCAGGCAAGGTGTCATCGAGTAAGCGATTTATTCTTTTTTACGGCTTGCCATCCCAACGTATCCCTCCCCCCTCTCCCCCCTCTCCTGTGGGCCCGAGAGCGATGTCTTTCCTTCAACGCAGGCAGCTCAAAAAGAAAAGAACGAGGAGAGAGGAGTGGGGAGAGAGGAGAGAAGGGGGGGGGGGGGAGAGGGAGGGAGGGAGAGGGAGGGAGGGAGAGAGAGGGCGGAGCGAGCAGAGAGAGTCTCAGGGGAGAGAGAGGGAGAGAGTTGAGAGAGTGGAGAGGGAGGAGGAGAGAGAGAGGAGAGCCTTTGAGCCTTGGCACCAGCCAGGCAGTTGATTTGGCCCTGGCACCAGCCTTGGCAGTTGATTTGGCCTTGGCACCAGCCTTGGCGGGCGGGCACGCGATATGCACAGGCGCAGAACCGACCTAACCCGTCGGAGGTGGGGGGAAGGGAGTCCCCCGGGTCCTGCGCGAGCGCGAGAGTAACCCCAAGAGGGCTGAAGATGAGCGGTGCGCGCAGGGGTCGGCGTGGACGGGGCGAGGAACGCGCCGCGCGGGGCGCCGCCTCACCGGCCCAAGATAGTGGCGCAGAGCGAGGCGGCGAGAACCGAGCGAGCACGTGAGCCCCGTGGCTCCAACCGGGCCCTTCCTTTTTTGAGCAAGTGTGCCGCCGCGCGAGCGACGCTCCGAGATCGCCCGAGATAGCGCGGCGCGGCCCCGAGATCGCCCGAGATAGCGCGAGATCGCCCGAGATCGCGCGGCGCGGCCCAAGATCGCGCACCTCGGCACTCGGCGAGGTGGATGGGTCGGGAGCGAGGGGGCGGAAGTGTTCAGTGCGGTAGATGGTCGCTCGGGGCGCATGAGCCGGACTTGTGGGCCGGACCACCCCCAGTCCTTTATCTGCGTTCTCGCACATGGAGCAACAAACCAAATGTGCGAGAACGCAGGGTAAGTGTAGGCCGGA